GATATCATACATTCCCAATTTGTTCAATAATCTCCTAAAAATCTGACTTGTCACAACTTTGGTAAGAATATCTGTCAATTGATCTTCAGATCGAATATTTGGCAATTCCAAAATATTTTTGTCAAGTTTTTCCTTGATGAAAAATCTATCAACCTCCACATGCTTCATCCGATCAGGTTGGACAGGGTTGTGAGTAATGTCGCGCGCAATTTTATTATCACAATACAACTTAATGGAATGTGTATGTGCATACCCTAAATCCTGGAGAAGTAGTCTGAGCACAAACATTTACAAAGTCCAAGAACTATTCCTCTAAGTTCAGTTTTTGCACTTGATTTAACTACAACTTTCTGCTTCTTGTTTTTCTATGTGACAAGATTACCTCCTACAAATATAAAGTATCTAGAGGTTAATCTTCTATCATCAAGAGCATTTGCCCAATCTGCATCAGTATAAACCATCACATCTTGTAATTAGAGTTCTGAACATAACTCCTTTTCCAGGAGCAGTTTTTATGTACCTTAAAATCCGTATAACAACATCCATGTGTTTTTCACTTAAATTGTGCATGAACTGACTAACCACACTAAGAGTATAGGCTAAATCTGGTCTGGTGTGTGAGAGATACATTAATCTCCCTACAAGTCTCTGATATCTTCCCTTGTTAGTTGGAGTTTTATCTTCTTCAATGCATAACTTCAATCCCCCTTCAATTGGAGAATTTGTTGGTTTGCATGCTGTCATTCCAGTTTCTTTTAGTAGATTCAATGCATACTTTCGCTGTAGAAGAAAAATACCTGACTTTGATCTTAAGACCTCAATTCCAAGAAAGTACTTCAAAGGACTAAGATCCTTCATCTCGAATTCCTTTACTAAGTACTCTTTCAATATTTTGAGTTCCTCTAGATCGTTTTCCATAATTATCATGTCATCAACATAGACAATAAGAATTATAATTTTTCCTTCCTTTTTCTTTAGAAACAAGGTATGATCTTGGTTGCTTTATTGATATCCAAAAGCAAGCATTAACTTGGTGAATCTACCAAACCATGCTCGTGGCGATTGCTTTAGTCCATACAATGACTTTTTCAACTTGTGTACCTTCTTGCTATGTAAGAAGGCATTTTTTATGACAAATTGTTATAAGGATCAATCAAAGTTTACAGCTAGAGATAATAATACTCGAACTGTGCTAATTTTAGCTACGGGAGCAAACTTTTCAGTGTAATCGATTTTATATGCTTGTGTATACTCATTTGGCACTAATCTAGCTTTGAATCTCTCAATTGTGTCATCTGCATTAAATTTCACAGTATACACCCATTGACATCCTACTGGTTTCTTTCCAACTGGACAATCTATCAATTCCTATGTTTTATTTCTTTGCGAGGATCTCATTTCCTCATTCATAGCATCCTTCCACCTGGAATCAGCTAAAGTTTCCTACACACTGTTAGGAATAGATACAATTGATAATTGACTTATAAATGTGATATTTGAGTTAGATAAATTCTGGTTACAAATATAATTACTCATAGGATATCTTATCTTACTAGTGAGGTCAAGATCATAAGTAGGCTTAGGGATACCTCTAATGACACGATCTGACAGAATTGTTTTTTTTTTTTTGTACTAAGTTCTTGAGGGGATGATTGATGTGGTATATCATTAACATCAATAGGCAAACTTTCAATCTTGATATGCTCAAATTCTTTCTCATTATGTGGTTGTTGATCATCACATTGTTGCACACTTTCATCATCTCCTGATACAACTTTGTAACTTCCTTTGTCCAATCTAACCTTAGTATCAATTTCTTGAGGAACAAAAGTCTGAACTTCATCATAATTCTCCCCCTAAATTTCATAATCAAGGGAAAAATATATCAAGGTCTCATGAAAAACTACATCTATATTAGTAAACATTTGCTTGGTTTATGGATTGTAGCACTGGTATCCTTTTTGGTGATCCACATAGCCAAGGAACACACACTTTTAAGCTTTAGGAGACAACTTACTTTTTTGATGCTTGTGTAATGAACATAAGCAATACAACCATAAATTCTATGTGTTAGTTCAGTAATTCTAGGACTTATTACTACATCTGTAAGTGATTGAAGAGGTGTTTTATACTCAAGAGACCTAGATGGTGTTCGGTTGATAATTTATACTACATATGTGAGAGTTTCTCCCTAATATATTTGATGTGGACATAAAGGTCCAAACCCATAATGAGAAGGATCAAAACCAAGATTCAATCCAAAACTTAGGTGGACCTATGACAAGAGTCAGGCTCAGAAAAACACAAGAGGCATTGCAATACAAAGTGACCAATTTGCTAAAGGCCCAACTATTAAAAGATCCAAACATGGAGGAGTCTAGACCTATCACATGCATAGAATGTTCGGAGAGCTAGGAGGTCCAACTAAAAGATTTAGTTATTATTATTATTATTTTATTTGCTACAGTGGGGATTTGAACCTAAGACCCAAAACTTATAATGTCTTCACTGAACCATCTGGGTAACTTAACTTTGCTTGGGATATTAGGATTTTAATTTATCTTTATTTCCTGCAATGAGACAAACTCATAAACTTAAGTTGTATTAAACATTTGGGAATTCAGAATGAACGTACGTAATATTCAGAATCTCTTTGTGAGTTGTTGCTCTGCTAGGGTTCTTCCTTGCATCACTTGATCTTATCAAGAATTATCCGATTCTTATGGCGATCCTTCTTGGCTTATCAAATATTCTTATTTGTGGCGCCTATGGTATCTTTTATGTTTTTCTGTTTTCTATTTCCAATCAAATCAACTCTTAAAACCTAACCCTAAATTGTTTCCCTTCTATTCAAGTGTCGTCAATATTGCTGGCATGTGAGCTCCAATCAGTGCAGCTCGGACCACCTCCAATAGATGACGGTTCTTTCATTCTGCCACCCCATTCTATTGTGGAGTATTTGAACAAGATCTCTGATGAACAATTCCTTTGGCTACTAAAAATTGTTGAAGTTTTGATTGCATATATTCTCCTTCGTTGTCACTGCGCAGTACCTGAACTTGTGCTTTATATTGGGTATTAATCATTTTGCAGAATTTCTGAAATAGTCCTCCAACTTCACTTTTAGATTTCATCAAACATAACTAAGTCATTCGAGTACAATCATCAATAAACGTTACAAACCACGTTGAGCCACCCAACGTTGTAACCTTAGATGAACCTCATACATCAGAGTGAATGATCACAAACATCATGATACAAAGTTGAAATGTCTACTTGGTCAAACACATTTGGAAATAATTTCTTTATGTAACCAAAAGATGGATGTCCTAGACACTTATGTCATAACCAACTATCCTCGCCTTTTCTCACTTCTTAAGACCCTTTTGTTGTTAGTACTTGATCAAGTCTCTTTGAATCTTTTTCTGTTAGGTCCAGGTAATACAACCTTCCTCACCTAATACAACAATCAATCGTCTTCCTCGTTTGAATGTCCTTAAAAATATAAGAGTCAAGCCCAAAAATTACAACACATAAAAGAGCTTTGGTTATTTGCGAGACTGACAATAGGTTACATTTAAGAGAAAGAACAACAAGGACAATATCAAGGTTCAAATTGTTTAAAATAGAGACAATTTCTTCTCCATTGATAGTGGATTTACTATCATTGGCTGTGAAAATATTTGTTTGTGAGAAAAGTTTAAGATTTTTAATATGTCTAACATCAAAAGTCACATGATCAAAACACGCAAAGTCAGTTAATTATCCATGCATTATTCATAATGATAGATGTGCTTATTAAGGTCTTACCATTGGAATCATTACTACCTGTGGTTGTAGTAAACATCATGTCTTTATCGTCCTCTCTGTCAATGACAGTTACAACAGTAGTTGGATTTCTTTTTGAATTCTTCTTCGATTCTCGACTGTGATCCCACCACTCGAGGTATCCTATGATTTCATAACATTGTTCCTTGGTGTGTCCATCCTTATTACACTGAGTACACTTGTAGTTACTTTTTTTAGGACCTTTTGATTGTTTCACTTGCTTCCTTGTCATCATAGCTGTGGAATCAGAAATATCTTCTGTTTTCAACTTTGTTCGTCGGACTGTCTCTCTTCAGATCAATGCATAACATTCTTCTAAATCAGGTGTCACTTCTTTATGTAAGATTTCTCTACGAACTTGCTCAAAATCATCATCCAGTCCAGTAAGGAATATATGCATCCTCAATCTTTCAATTGACTTTTGATATGACTTTACATCATCAAGGTCCTTCATAATTACTTTGTTATGATGATCCAATTCCCTAAAAATCTCAACAAACTCCCATAATATTCAGTTAGAGTTCTATTATTTTGTTTTACACTGAATTCCCTTTGATTCAGGGCAAATACATGTAGCTCATCAATTCCATCAAAACGTCTTTGACAAAGCATTTCAAATATCGAGGGCAGAAGATGCCTTTTCATGATTTCTGGCTTCATAGACATCAATAGTCATCTTCTCACTTTTTTATTTTCAGCATACAATTTTTCATATCCCTCGTCTTTCTCTGTTGGAGGCTTCACCTTCTCACTGATGTAGGATAATTTTTCTCTCTCTGCAATGTGCATCTCCATTAGTTGTGACCATACGTCATAGTTAGATTCATTTAGTATTATGCCTACGTTGAAGACACATTCAGATTGAACTACCACTGAAATTGATTTTCCTGTCATATCTCCAGTTAAGATCTCTAAGGATTTAGAAAGAAAAAGAAAAAAATTCTAAACTCGAAACCATATTGAAAAACATAGAATTCATTTTATAATTTTATTCATATATCTTTTGGATACAAATATCATGTTCTTATAATATTTTACTCTTATAAATCGGGACTAAATAAAGAAAGTTCTAATTATGCATTATTTTGTATATTTATACAAAACTATAATTTAACTAATTAAATATATTTATCTCAACATTCTATTGATTATTGTTGAAGTAGAAGATTGCGATGGACTCTATGAAACTAAAATTATTTTTCTCTTGTTGGGACAAGGACCTCTTCATTGGAGGCACATATACCTCAGCAGAAGCCATGCAATGGGCAATGGCTGAGCTCCTCAACCACCCTGAAGCCTTTCAAAAAGTGAGAAAGGAGATAGAGTTGGTGACTGGCAATGGCAGGCTAGTTGATGAATCAGATGTTCCCAACATGCCATATTTGCAAGCAGTTGTGAAGGAAACACTAAGACTCTACCCACCAGGACCAGTCACAACAAGAGAGTGTCGCCAACACTGCAAGATTAATGGCTTTGATGTGCCACCAAAGACAGCAGTGGCAATCAATTTGTATGCCATAATGAGGGACCCTGATTCCTGGGACCATCCAAATGAGTTTCTCCCTGAAAGGTTCTTGCAAGAGCAGGATGAGGATTCGAGTGATGGTAAAAGAACAAAGTTCAATTTTGTTCCATTTGGAGGTGGAAGGAGAGGGTGTCCTGGAACAGCACTGGCATTCAGCTTGATGAACACTGCAGTGGCTGCTATGGTGCAGTGCTTTGATTGGAAAATTGGTGAAGATGGAAAAGGAGAAAAGGTTAATATGCAGTCTGGATCTGGCATGTCTTTGAGCATGCTTCACCCCCTTATTTGTGTTCCTGTAGTACATTTTAACCCATATGATGTATAACTCAATATAATGAAGGCACACCTTGGAAAAACTTGTATTATGCAGTTATCAGTGTAGTTGCTGTGCCAAAGAAACTCCTCATACGTGAAAGCAGATGTAGTAATAAAATTTCCTAATCATTATCACACACTAAAAAATTTCCTTATCTAAAAAGAGATTTTAAATTAAAATTACTAATAAAATTTTAATTTACTATTAAACTTCACCGATCTAGACAGAAGCACGTTTTAGCCACTTTTTTATCATCACTTAACAATTCATAATTAATTGCTAGGATTTATTTTGCATATACAAAATTGATGAAAGAGAATGTAGAAAACTTTTAAAAAAGAAATCAAATTTAAGAATTATATAGAGACATTAATATATATTTAACTTTGAAACTAAATAAATAATACTCAACTCATAAATGTATCCAATTAACAGAAATTCGATGCAACTGATTATTGAGTCGCCTTGGTAATTTGTGTGGCCTATGTCGATTTTGATGTGTATGAAATTTGAGTAATACTTATAAATAAGTTAAAGTTTGAAAATGGTTTTTCTAAAAGAAAAGAAAGGTGGTTTGGAAACCAGGGAGTATAACATGCAAAATCTTAGTGTCTGAAATAGCAACTAAGATCAATAATTCACTTACCGTTCTATTCCCATACGTAACGCAACCCTTAAACAGAAATCTCAATATTGAAACTATAACCCCATATCAAGGATCACCCATTTGATCATCTACCTTTTCCTAACCATGAGACTTAGCCAACACAACAATCAAAGTCATTATTCAAGGCAAAAGGCCATATACTATGATGTGTATACGTGTGTTTGAAGGTCTCACAAAGTTATATAACTTGAACATAACTTTGGTCTTAGTTTCAAGCTCGATGAGGCTACACTAGTGTAGAATTAGCTTTTTATGTCAGTTATTTTAGACTTTTTACGTTATTTATAAGACTGATGTTAAAATGGAAGACGTAAATTTACGTCGATTCCTTTTACCGATGAAAATTTACGTCAGTTATTGATACCCAATGGTAATCTACATTGCATATATCACTAAACAGACGTAAAAGACTTCGAAAATATAAAAAATTGGACGAAATTTACATCGCACATACACATATGCGACGTAAATTTACGTCGCACATACACATGCGCAACATAAATTTACGTCGTATCTACACATGCGTGACGTAAAATTTATGTCGCATATGTGTATGTGCGACGTAAATTTACGTTGCATATGTGTATGTGTGACGTAAATTTCATCCTTTTTTTTAATACTAGATTTATTTTGTCTTACAACTAAAACCTGCAAACATATATTATAACCAGATAATCCAGAGGTTCAAGTTTCTTTAGGTAGTAAATAAAAAATATAATATTATATATAATTCAAACTACAAAAGTTAAATTAATACACCATGCTAGTAAGTACAAAAATTAGACTACCTAAACTACATAATAAAATAATATAATACAAACAATATACTAAAAGTTATTACAAACTAAGCTACCTAAACTACATAATACACACAATATAATACCAACAATAACCTATAAACTAAGTACTAGAATTGTTGAACGAAAAATCTTGTTCATTGTTCTCTAATTTGTGTGATATCATGTTCTGGCAATGGAGATGAATATTGAAATACCTGAAACATTAATTTGACTCTTGTAAACACACAACACACATAAAGTTAAATAAATTTAACTAATATTGAAAGCAATTACCTCCGTCCAAGAATCAGTTATATCCGCACAAACTATGACTCTCATCTAATACATGACATAGTAACCACATTCAAATACCTGGAATATCAATTTGACTCCTATTAACATGTAATACACACAAAAGTAAATAAACTTAACAAATGTTGAAAGTAATTACCTCTGTTGAATAATTATTTATACTCGCACAAACTTTTGTGTATTACATGTGCTTAGGAGCATATTTTGGAAAAACTGTTGGGACAAATCCCCTTTGGAATTTTCCCCCTCTTCTCTGTCTTTTTCTCTTTGTTTTGATATATTGTGTGTCCAAATTCGACGTCTCAGTCAAAAGTTATCTTACTTTGAACATTTTCCGTTTTCTTTATCATAAAACCCTAAACCCCCCAATAAACGCATAAACAGATAATCACAATCCAGTGGAGACATTTATGTAATAACATGATTGAGATTCCAATCATGGATTCAATTTCAACATATAACAGGAGACATAAAACACTAACCTCGAGTATACAAGAAAACAATTTAAAACTCGAATCCAATCGGGGAGAAACGTCAAATTCGGAAAATGGGACACAATATTGATGTTTTTTACAGTCAAAATGATCCAAAATGGTGTGGAAAGGATCGTTGTCGTCGTTGTTCTTGTCGTCGTTCTCAAAAATTCTTGTTGCGCGAGATAAGGGAGTGGTGTTGGAACAAAATAAACTTAATTTGTATGTCGCACCTAAAAGGAGGCGACGTAAAAAGTCTATTTTATCTCACATCTTTTTGGGTGCGACATAAAAATTAGACCAATTTTTACATCGCACTCAAAAGGACGTGACTTAAAAGACTCTTTTTAGGTCGCACCCTTGATCATCTCTTGATTCTTTCAATGGTAAGCCTTACACTTGTCGTAACATCGTGGAGCCAAACTTCACCTTGTTCCCATTCTATAAAGATTGTGTTTGCCATACACAAGCAACAAAGACCTATTTAAGGTCGATCACAGCTATTCAAACGATATATCAAAACATGGATAAGATCTCATCATTATTTTTATTTTTTTACCTTGATTTTTGTAACAATATAAATATTTATATTTATTTAATATTTTAATATAAATGTACATAATTAAATTTATCCATATCTATTTTTTAAAATATTTTTATTTTTTATTTCAAATTAATAATTAAATCAAAATTAATTATTTTATAAATAATATATTTTGAAAAAATAATCCTATTTTTTGAAAAAATAAAGAATTAACATCAAATTGAGTACTAGGTAATACAAGTTCAATAAAAAAAAATCGTGCTCCTGCATCATCACACGTTAATATTGAACAAAATTAAGTAACTAAGCATAAGTAAAAATGCAGTGGTTAAAAAAATGAGTTAGATTGAAACTGCTATAATCTAACTATATACAGCACATGCCTGTATGGATGAAAATATTTTTATCTGGTGCTAAGTTAAATTTAGAAGAGAAATATTATATAATAATTCAATTTGAAACATATATAATATTGTTATTAGCATGAGGTGTATTCAAAAAAATTATTATATTATTGAAAGAATAAGATAATTACTTTTCGTCTTTATAATTTATTTATTTGATCTAATAGATAATATAAATTATTATTTTAAATTATAAGATTACTAAAAGAAAAAATAATTAGATGAAGAGTATCTCCTTTATACAATAATAATATAAAAAAATATAAAAAATGCAGAAGACAAATTAGATTGCCGTTTTAAAATTATTATTATTATTATTATTATTATTATTATTATTATATATATATATATATATATATATATATATATATATATATATATATAGAATCTTTAAAATATGTATATTAGTGTGTAAAATATGAACAGAAGGAAAGTTGGATGATGATGATGATAAAGGAGGAAAAATATGTACCTGTAATGGAAGATGATATTCCACAAACAAGAAGCACCAATATGGCAGACATTGGTGGTTTCCCTTTAAGAAACATATGAATATCAATGTGTTATACCAAATCTTAACACAAAAAAATTTGTATATTCACTTTCCCATAACCATATTTATACTAGATATCTCATTGCAAGTTTCACTTTGATTATCTAAATATCTTATATTTAGATACTTGTTAAGATATTCCATCTATTCTTGATTTTGTGCTAAAACTTTAACATGATTTTAAAGTCAAAGTCTATCTAGTTTACTTCATTTTATATTAAAGATTTTTACAAAATTGAGGGACTTACTTTTTTTAAAATAAAGTTCACTAAATATTAATATGATCATATATTTTTCCTCCGTGTGTTATTTTTTAATAAAATTTGATCCTACTAAATATAAATTATAATAATATAAAAAAATTAGGATTAAGTATGTTTTTAGTTACTGTATTTTCATGTGAAATTAAAAATAATTCATCTGTCAAAGTTCACATAAAAATGATCCATATACTTTTGAAATGATTGGAATATGTTTCTATTTAAAACGGTGTTAAATATATAATGACTTGTCTAACAAAAATAGTATGACTCATTTATTATTTGACACGTGTAATTATTTTAAAAAAAGTAAAGCTCTTCTTTAAAAAAAAATAGAAATTATTCAATAGAGATTATTATTTAAACAAAAAAACAAAATTAAAAAGTAGAAGTTTTTGTTTTTGTTTTTAAATAATAATCTCTCGTTGAATACTTTCTATTTTTTTAAGAAGAGATTTGCTTTTTTTTTAATAATTACATGTATCAAATAATGAATGAATCATACTATCTTTGTAAGACAGTCATCATATATTATAGAGATCTATTCCAATCATTTCAAAAATATATGGATTATTTGTATGTAAACTTTGACAAAGGGACTATTTCCAATTTCACATGAAAGTACAGGACTAAAAACATACTTAACCCAAAAAATATATATATATATATATATATATATATATATATATATATATATATATATTCCTCATATTAATTATTTATTTTTAATATATAATTTCATATAATTTTCTCACATGACATGTTTAATACCATTATGTTTGAAGTGTAATTTCAAACCAAATACGTGTAATTTCATATAAATTACTCATACAGTAAAGATGTATATATACTCAATGTAATATAAATGTGTAGTATAATAATATTTATTATAATATATTATTTATTTTACATAGTTTTTACAATAATATATTATTTACTATATTATAATTAATTATAATAATATTCTTTGTAATCTTTATTATAATATTATTTATTAAATAATATTATTTATAAATT